CTCGGCCTTCCTCGGCCCTCCTCGGCCTTCCTCGGCCCTCCTCGGCCCTCCCGCCCTTCCTAAGATGGCGGCCGCGCCGGCGGCCGCTCTAGGCACGCTTCGCTCCGCCCCTCGCGCCTCTCGCTGGTTACGGCGGTGGCGTCGCTCTAGAAGAGGCGCTCTAGCGGGCTCGCAACGTCTTCTCGGTGGTGGTGGGCGGTGCGAGCGGTTCGAGTTGCTTCGTTGCTACGTGTGGAGCTCTTATTTCATGGCTGCGACGGGCCCGGGGGCTGAGGTGCGGGGAACGGCGCGGCAGGAGCCGGGACGGGCGCCGGGCAAGGTACTGGACGGAGGCCGAGGCAGAAGAGCGGTGAGGGCTGCGGGACCCGAGTCCGAGGCCAGTCTCGGGCTTTAGAGGCGCCGGAGCTTCCGGGCAGCTGTGGGGGTACCTCGGGCTGGGGGGATGGGGGAATTAGGGAGCGCGCGGTCCCGGGCTCGCATCCCGGTCCCGCCGCTTTTCTCGCTCCCTCGGTGACCTTGGGGGTGTCCTTGCGCCCCTCCCCCACCATGCCGCAGTGCGGATGAGCCTCTGGCTCCTTTGTTAGAGACTCAGGTTCGCCTTTTCTCCCGCCCTCGATCACTTTCTGTAATCTTTCTGGGGGTGGGGGTGGGGAGAGGCAGCTACGCAGCATGGTGGACCTCCGGAGTCGGGGGCCTGGGTTCAATTTCTGCTCGGTGCCTGTGCTTTAATAGCTCTGCGCCACAGTTCTCCCGCTTGTAAGGTGGGAAGGGTTGGACAAGATGGCCTCCGGGCTCCTACGTTTGTAGAATTGTAGGAGCGCCTCGTGTTTTGGTGGGTTTCTAACGGTGCCCCCCATTGCTTTGTGCCCCCTGTAGCGTCAAGGTTCTTGGCGGTTTGGGGGGCGGGGGGCTAAGGGGTCGGCCAGTCAATGCCCGTTTATTAAGCGCCTACTCTGCGGGGCCCTGGAGAAGACGAAGCACAAAGAAGTGGGGGAGGGGAGCCGTGGCGCACTTCGGGGAGGGAGGGGGTCCAGGTGCTTAGTGTGGAACGTCACCCAGAACAATCGCCCCCCTCGGCCCAACGACTCCAGCCCGGGGGGGGTGGACCCTCAAAATCCGTTTATTTAAAAGACACGTTCTAAGATTTCTGTGTCGGTATGGAATTGGCAAAATGGCGGAAGCGACCAAAATGGCCGGCCTCGGGGGCGTGGTCGAGGGTTTGGTGCAATGACGTAGTGCGGCAAAAAGCCGCATTGCGGATGCCGGGCGTGGCCCGGGGATAAAGAAGAGCCGAAGACCGCCCGGAGTCCGGGGCGGTGCCGGGTGCAAACTAAAAGACCCGCTTCTTAAGGATCCACGCACTGGTAACTGATTTCAATACTGTTTTTAATTCTCCTCACCTTTTTTTTTTTTTTTTTTTTTTAAGTAAATTGGTGATCATAAAGCAATTTGAGGACAATATGGCATCAGATTACGAATAAAGAGTAATTAATGAAGTATAAACTAATTTATTCCTAGCAGTTAAATAGTGAATGAGGAAAGAGAGAAAGGGTGATAGTTGGAGGTGATGACATGGACAGAAGTTTTGTGGTTTAATGAGAGACCTGAGCATATTTGTAGGTAGCAGAGAGGTAGACAATTTAGTAGAAAAGATTAAAGATAAAATAGAGTAAATGTTTGCTCAAACTCCCTGAGGAGATGAGGGGTGGCAAAATCCAGAATACAATAGTTGACGGTGTCTTGGAGGGGATCCTCCCCTGACTCCAAGGAAGGGAGGTGAAGAGTGAGGATTTAGGTTTTTAGGTGTGGTCCACACTGGGGGAGGGAGGAGGCGGGGTAGGAGATGGGCAATTTGGTTTAGGTGGTCTTAATCTCAATTAATTTGGAAGTGGGAATCAGGGAGTATGGGTGGAGTCAGGTCCACTACTGGGATTTGGTAGAGAGATGCAGTTGTCTTCTATTGGTGAGGTTCCCTCTTGTTAGCCTGAATTTGTAATGGCCTCAGTCAGTAATAATTATTTCATTCAGCTGAGAGTGAAGAAATCATGATCAGAGTAACCCAGGGCTTAGGGATTCAGAAGTAAGCCAGTGCCTTATTGAAATGCCAAAACTGAAGAAAGTAAAGCCAGAACAAGAGTGATGAGCTTGGAAAACAGGACTTGTGGAGTAAATTCAAGAGGAATGAGGCAGTAGGAAAGGTGAGGCTAATGAGAAAAAGGAATTTAATTTTTCAGGATCTTGGAAGTGAAAGTTTCACATGAGGAACCAAGGAGGTTTACCCTAGAAAAAGAAAACCATGGAAATAGGGAACATGATAACTGCTGTCTGATGTTGTAAGGACCCATAAGCAGAGGATTAGCCTTACTCTTTGTGGTGAAACTTTCAAGGGTAGAAATGGGTTCCACAAGTGGGTGGAGGATATTGGAGGATGGTTTACACATCCTCCCCACGCACAAAGTAAGGATTCTAGGGATCTTTCTCTTCCCCCCCCCCAAAAAAGCATGGAGAAAAATGCAAACTAACCTGGGGGCGGGGCTATCACCTCACCCAATATCGGAAAGATAACTATTAATATGCAGTATTCATCCATGCTTTTTTCCCTCTGTGTGGGTCATTATATGCTCTTTTGAGTGAACATACCTCTCTTTGAGAAGACTCCATAGTTTTCTGAGGCTCAGTGAAATAACAATTAAGTTAATCTTTCAATTGGAATTCTGCAAAATCTCACCATTTTATAGAATCTTGGAGGGTTGGGGAGGGCTTCTATAGTGAAGTCAGAGAGTAAGTGTTCAATCAGTAAATAGTTATTGTGCACCTGCTATATAGGCCAGGCACTGAGGTAAGTGTTGAGAATACAAAGAAAGGCAAAAGAATTCTGCCCTCAAAGAGCTCACAATCTGGTTCTTTCCAGCTCCTAACATTCTTTGATCAGTGTTATAAAGAAGAATCCTTGTTGTAGTTGATATTGGTATCGGGTCCTTTATGACAGTGGAGGACATTTTTGGTGAGCATTTATCTTCCTCTTTTTTTATGCCCTGTGTGATATCAATAATCAGAGGGGTGTTGTGAACTTTGCATTTGTTTAATTGTTTTAATATTTAATCACATTGATAGGGTTTTTATTTTGTTGATCAACCTATACCGACAACAAAAAATAATTCTCCACATCTTTATCATTTGTGACTATGGAGGTGTGGTTTATGGTGTAATAAAAAATCACCTGTCAGGGGTTGGCTTTTTCTTCCAAGAAGACCCTCTGGAGAATGTTGTATAAATGATTCTCATTAAAATTTTATAAAAGATAAATAGGTTTATGAGTAAATGTTGCTGCTTTCTTTATTGCCTTTTTTGGTAATAACAGGTCTATCATCCTTTCCTTTTGGAGTCTTCCTTTTGTGATACTTGGATGTTCAACTTTGGAATGCCTTTAAATATTTCTAAAGCCCTTACTTAACCTTTATTTGCAGGGGAGAACACCAAATCAATAAGTTTCCCGAAAGGAAAAAAAGGTTCTGCATAGTAACATGAAAATGGCCCTGGTCTTTTATAGTAGTGCTCTCAAGCAAATTCTAAAAATCAATATTTAATCTTCCAGTTTTCTTCCATATACTGAGTAATGCAGGTGCAGAAGTGCTCTAAAAAGGTTGTTATGGCCTATGATTAAATCTGTAGATTTTAATACCTTTTAGGAAAATGGGGGAGGAAGGGTCGCAGTGGTAAATTGGCAAAGGGCTCACAAATTTAGATATGAAAGAAATTTTAGAGGGCATCTAATTCTTGTCTCTTGATTTTATAGATGAAAATGAAGTGAAGCAAGTTGCTGAGTTCCCATAGCCAGTAAGTGGGTGTGTACTAGGTCCCAAGCCTAGATTTTTTGATTACTCCAACCAAAGGGCTTTTTGCCCTTTGAAACTAAGCAAAATTGGATCAGAATCACAGGTGGATAACCAACCACAAAGAGGAGTAACTCAAAGGTTGAAGTAATTGACAAAGGAAATTAAAATTTTGTCCCTAAAGTCTTTCAGCAGTTGGTCAGAGTAAACTAAGGAAAAATTCTGAAGAGTCATTTAGCAAGAGTAATGTGCTTTGGGAAGGCCTTTCTAGCTGTAGTGTGTGGCCAGATGTTAGAGGTGAGGGACCAAATTCGTGAGAATTGACTTTATTTCTTTTGCCCCAAGAATCCAACAATTGCTTTCCTCCAGAGCACATATTACACTGGAATCCAGTGGTGCCGCAGGATTATTAAAGAAATTTTTTTTCCTATATTTAGAAATGTCTGTGACCTCTACTGGCTCCACCTTCCCAGCATACTATATTGAAACTCTTCCAGTGTTGAGGAATCTGTAGGCATATCTTTTGTCACCTCTGTTATGGGCCATGCCAACTTTGTTTTCACTGTTTATCAAGCTCTACCTTCAAGGCAAATAAAATTTGTTCCTGATGCTGTGTATTCATGCCCACAAAATACTTTTATTGTTGAGTGGTCAGGATGGTAGTCAATTTCACTTGCTGCCTTTTAAGGATTTATGGCAACCATTTTAAAATAGTTGCTTTTACAAAAATGACTTCTCTGATTGACATTCTTTTGGTTGTCTTCCACTACTAAAATCACTTGACCTTTATAGTCCATTCAGTTTCAGATTCTACGTGAAAGTCATAACGGTTCTGGTGGCTACTCTGTTGTATGAGTTCAGGCTGAGAGAGTGGGTTAAGCCGTATAGCTACAGCAGAGACCCACTATCCTCTTGGACAGCCAGACACCACTGTCATAGGTTGCTTTTAAAGTTGTCACTTCTACAATGAATTTCTTCCCTGTGTCTTTGGTCAAGTTCATCTTTTTCACCCCAACTTTATTTTTAAGTGTTATTTTTATTTCCTTATCTAGTACGTTGAGTACTGAGTACAAATGATGGTTCCATTGGTGATAAAAATAGATCTGCTGTAAAAACGTTGGCAAATCCATTCACGTCTATTTGTTGCTCTATCCATTTCAACCGTGAATGCTTTTGGGAAGATTCAGCCTATTGCCCAGTTTGTGAAATGTAGTTGGGTGGGTGGTCCATTGATGGACAGTTAACTGGGCTCAGAATTAAATAGGAGGAAGAAAACTTCGGGCTGGATTACATTTGGGAAAGTTTACAGCGCTTTCAGAGATCCCAAGCTGCTCTTTGTTGCAAAAGCCCATCTTATTAACACCAGTATTCTCCCAGTGATACTATATGCCTGCAAATCAAGGAATACTATGCCCTGAGAAGAATCAAAATTGTAGGTGACTTGTGGAAAGATTCATGATGAGGCTAAATAGACTGCAGCATATTTTCACTTATGACTTGTATGCAAGGAATCGTGTAAAAAGCATGACATATGACCAGAAAAGGAGTTGAACTGGTCAAGGGATAACAAATGGACAGCCTGAGCATTGCTCTGGTATTCACAGAATATTAAATACCTGGAGGAAAACCTCCAATGTATTGAGTAACTCCTCTCTGGAGGATGTTTGGACAAGAATTGCACAGGATGAGAAGGCATGGATGGGATCTGCACCAATGGAGGATTGATTACCCACACTGATGAGCATACTTCCAGCTTATTTGACAAAGAAACTCCTTGGCTCGTTTATTTCTAGTTCTAAGAGAATTATCAGCAGAAAAGCTCAATGCTGTCGAGAGGGCCTCTACTCATGTGAGGGAATCTGGCCCACGTTGGGCAAAACTTGAATTTTTCTCTGTGAACTTAATTAGCATGTAGTCAGATACTGAAGTAAATCTTGAGTTTCTTTAAAACTATCTTTGTTTTTATATCACCTTAATTGTGTTCTGAGGTCAGACCAGGAATCTGACCTTACCCAAGGGTAAAGGGTGGGTGTGTGTTCGTGCACAGGCATGCCCATGGACAAAGTTGAGGATGATACAAGACTACTTCAATTTTCCCATTCTGGAATTGGGGGAAAGATTGGGTGAAGTAAGTAAAGACCATACCTTCCCAGACTTGAACTGGCAAAACATTCTGACTTAGCCTTGGACCGTTATCTTTTGGGATATTTGCCCAGTTCTGAGTTTACCATTTTTTAAAAATGGGCTGCCAATAAGCCTGGCTCTAGTTAGCCACTTCCATTAATCTTAAAAAATAACAAAAGACCTTCCTGATAGCAGAGCTGTCCAAAAATAGAATGAGCTGCCTTGATAGAGTTCCCTGTCACTGGCAGTCTTCAAGCAGAGACTGAGTACTTGTCAGAAATGTTAGAGAGGATTCAAGCTTCAGATAGGGGGGTGACATCTGAGGTCCCTTCCCATTCTTAAGGATTTTAGACTCAGATCTAAATGACTCGTTTAAGGAAAACCAGCCTGATTGTGCCAATCAATCATTGAGCATTTATTAAGCACTTAGTATGTACCAGGACCTTTTACTTCCTTCAGAGAGACATAAAATTAGAGCTGGAAAAAACCTCAGCTCGTCTAGCCCAACCTCCTCATTTAACAGATGAGGACCCAGGGGACCAGAGAAGTGAAGGGATTTGCCCATGATCACACAGTAATAAGGGGTGTGGTCGTGGGCAGTTATTACATGCCATTTGATGTTATTCTTGTGTCCCCTTATGCTAGATCTCAAGCAAAGACTGATTCTTATCTAAGGAAACATTGTATCCCTCCTTAATGTTGTATTGAATTTAATCTTGATTTAAGCTGATGGGATGTCTTGAATAACTACTGGTTTCAAGCAGGAACAAAAAAAGGACAGGCAAATAAGTGTGCAATTTATTTTAAAATTGGATAAGCAAATGATGATTGCAGTATAATACCAAAATGGGAATTACTTTTTTGCTTAAGATGGTTTCTAAACGTACAAAGTTGACACATGAACCCCCCTCCTTTTTTTTTTTTTTTTTTTAAATATAACTTGTATGGTCATCCCGAGAAATGGGTAGTTTCCAACTTAGAAATATCCAAATAGTGCAGTATTATTATAGCTTTATGTTCAGAATGGTGAAACAGTTCCGAAACTGTTAGAAGTAGAAACAACTTCATCCTAGGGTTAATTTACTTAGCTAGGCTAGCCTGCCTATTTAGTGGCCCCTCTTTCCCTCCTTCCCTGCCCACCCTTTTAACTTGTTTTACCTCCACACTGGACTAACCCACCCTTTTACCTTGTTTTACCTCCACACTGGACTAACTTCTTTTGTTGTCTTTTTTTGTCTTCCTGAACTTACTTCATCTTTTTAGGGAGTCCTTTGACTTAAATGCAGATATCCCATAAACAAGTGTGAAATAGAAGCTGGAATTAACACATCTGAAATCCCCTAACTTAAGCAAGTTGAACTTGGAGGAGGGAGGGGCTGCAGCTGTTGACTTTTGGTGCCTAGTCCCAGTATTCTCTCCAGAAAATCTTAGGAAATTGGTGATTCTGAAGACACATTTAAGCCAGTTTCAGAATTTCGCCTGTAGCCAACTTTATGCCCAGGAAAGGGCATTTCTAGCCTTTCCTCTCTTCCTTGTATCCAGGATTCTGGTTACTGCTGTTAAGTGGATTCTTCTGGTCTAACATGGGATTCTAACCATAATTGTTCCTGTGAAAAAATTCTAAGTTCCAAACAGTTGACTTAAAAAATGAACTTTGAATATAACTCTCTTAAGTTGTAGACTAAAATTATCTTTGTTGGATTTGACAGCTGAATTGAATATGGATGTCATAATCTTGCAGATGTTACTGAAATTTATAAACCTGCAAATGTAATCCAGAATATGGAGCATGGAGGAGAATTTTCTTTAAAAAAAAAAAAAAGAAAGAAAAGAAAACAGCATATTATATTTGCAATAGAAGTTTTAAAAGGGGGAATAAAATTCTATAGGGTATATAAATCTGATTTACTTTTTTTAGTCTCAGGCCTTTAGGTAAAAAAAACATTGTAACATAAATCTGATTCACTTTAATGCTTTCTCTAGGGTGATCCTCAATAGGACCTACTAGAGGCTACAGAAAAAAACCTAGGCAGAATAAAAAAAAAACGGTGAAATAGGTTGTTCTAAGGAAGTAAGATGGATCCCTGTTCAGTTGGAGTTCAGCTTCGTGCTACCAATGAATGTCATAAGACATACTATACTCGACATACTGGCTTCAAGACTTTGCAAGAATTGTCATCAAATGATGCGCTTTTACTTCAGCTTAGAACCGGAATGACACTCTCTGGAAACAATACAATTTGCTTCCATCATGCAAAAATTTACATTGATCGATTTGAGGACTTGCAAAAGTCTTGTTGTGATCCTTTTAACATACACAAAAAGCTTGCAAAGAAAAATTTGCATGCGATTGACTTAGATGATGCCACTTTCCTAAGTGCCAAGTTTGGAAGACAGCTTGTACCTGGTTGGAAGCTTTGTCCAAAATGCACACAGATAATCAATGGAAGTGTGGATGTTGAATCTGAAGATCGCCAAAAAAGGAAAGCTGATTCAGACGTATGTATATGGGCCAATTTTTCGCTTATTTAGGTCTGCAGTTTAGAGTTTTGCTTGGGTAGTGTAGAAGCATACCTTCTTTTGGTTATCATTGCTTATAAGCACTTTAAAGCAACGTGATATTATGCATACAAAATTCAGACAGGTGAAAATCATGTAAGTGGTGCTCACTTTCCTATTCCCTCTTTCAGCCATTTAAGTGGTAGGATAAGAAAAAGGAGAGTTTAGCATTTTACTGCTAGAACAAAGTCTAGGAGGGAATAGCAGGTGGCTTGCAATGAATGTTTCTCCTTGCTCCTTTTATTCTCTTCCTCCTTTGTCCTCACCCAAGTTTGGATTTGTGTGGGTGTGTCTAGGAGCACAGCTCAGAATCTTGTTGCTCTGTTCCCTAATTTTAGGCCTCTCTATAGTCACCAAAAACATGACTCTTTGTGGTAAAATTTTAATTTTATTTTTGTGGGGTATGAGATATGGCGTGTCTTGTTTTAAAGGTTCTTACCTTGAAAAATGTGTACTTTGTATTTGGAAGAACTTAATTCAACATTTAAACAGCTAATGAAAGACTTTAATAGAAGGCTTTTTAAAACTGCTTGGCACAAGCTCAGATTTGTATATTAGTGTGTAATGAACTGTTATTTCTCCCCTCCCACCCAGCACCAATAACACTGCCATGTGTTAGCTAAGCACATAAGCAAGTTTCATTCCTGCTGCTAGAAAAGTAAGATCCTGCTTAATTAAATGAAGCCTAGTTTTTCTTTAACATGTGCAATGTAAGGTGACCTTTTCGTTGCTTTCCTGAAGCAATTCTCCCAGTATTGAATATGTTAATTCATAGTCAAGTTTCAGAAAACTGAATATTGCTTTTTGTCAGACTCCTGTCTATCCTAATACAATAACGCATCATCAGGGTGTTCTACATGTATGATTAACTACGAAGCTAAAAAACTTACACTTTTGAGTGGTTAAAATTTTCTTTTTTTTAATTTAGCCACATTTGGAAGAATTTTTAGTCTCTTTCACAGTTTACTGATTTCGAAAACAGAAGAAACTGAACCTAAATCTTTGACTCAGCCATCATTGTGAATGTCCACTATTTCACTGTGCTGAGTTGGTTTTTGTTTTGTTTGTTTTGTTTTGTTTTGACTTCCTCTTCTCCACTGCTATCAACCTTTAGTTCTGCCGCCAGTGTGTCTACCTCTTATGCCTTCCTCCTGTGCTACTTTTGATTTGCTGTGGTACAATAAAACAAATAACCAAGATTGTTAGGGTTGTGTGATCTGAGAGTCAGTCAGTAAGCACTGAATAATGACCTGATGGCTTCAGCTACAGGATAAAGTTCAGTTTTAGTGCTTTGGGCTCCCAGACTTTGTTTCATTTCTGGGCATGGCAGGCAGTATTCTATTCTATATGGTTAGCTTGGCAGTCATTAAGCGTGGGATATTTACTATTTGTGCCTTTGATATGGTGATCTAACTTGAGAATTTTTACTTTTCCTTAGGGAAGGACTGCTAAAGCCTTGCGGTCCTTGCAGTTTGCAAATCCAGGAAAGCAAACTGAATTTACTCCAGAAACTGGTAAAAGAGAAAAAAGAAGGCAGACCAAGGCATCCAATTCAGACAGGTAGGCAATTTATATTCATTAAGACATGTAAGCTGACCATCTAAAATTTTACTACTTATTTTTGTTTCATCTTCATTTCTGAGATTTTCTCAACTGCTATTTCAAATTGTTTAAGGGGAGGGAGGAGAAATGTCCCTGAGTCTCAGTTTTCCTTGTTTTACAAATGAAAGTGTTGAAGGCAGTGAGTGCTTTCTTGGTCTCGTTCAACTCTAAAAATTCTGACTTTATTAATAATCAAATTATATATAAAGAGCATAATTTATAGCCTAGTAGTGACATTTACACTAAGATCATAGGTTCTTTCATAAATTTATGTCTAAGTTTTTTGGCTACATAAATAATAGTAAAGCTAACAAAATTAATCGAGGTACAACTGACTTGGGAGGTAATTTATTTTACTGGATTGCCTTAAATACAGATTGAGAAAAGGAAACATTAAAATTAAGGCATAATACAAATTAAGTACAGTGACACTTCTGCACATACCTTTGCTGTTTGAATGGTAGCATTTTCAAGTTTTGTTTAATCCATTTTTATTTCTATTAGCTTGACTGGAAGAAATTTTTTTTTTTTTTTTTTTTTTTTTTTTTTTTTTTTGACCTTCCATAGCAGTCACTTAAAATACTCTTATACTTACCAGTATTGAAGTTAAACTACCAACTCACAAAAGAGTAGCAAAATTGCTTTGGGGTGGGGAATGAGTTGAGGGAGTTTTTTGTTTGTTTTGGTTTTTGTTTGTTTTTTAACCAAAAAAAATGGTGGTTTGGAAGTTATCTTCTCTTCCAGTATAGAAATATTGACCTTTGCGCGGGGTATTTTGGGATATTTTTCATCCATACATTAGATTTCTGCTTCTTAAATAGAGATTGTAACTACTGAGTATATGATGATTTTGATCTAAAATTTTGAACCACTTTAGCAGGACCATACCCAAGTTGTTAGAAATAGCCATATTGAATATCAGAAATCCTTTTAGTCATGTATTTATCAATTTAATATAAGTTTTTAAAACTTTCCCCCCAACATACTTTTCTTTACATAATTTTGGTTTTGTGCTAAAAGAATGGAAAAGAAATTAGGGGGGAGGCTTGGAATTAAAAATTCATAATGCTAGATTCATTGTTAGAAATAACTTTTTTCTTTTTACAGGCAAGTGATACCACCAAAGAGCAAAGTCTATGATAGCCAGGGCCTCCTGATACTCAGTGGGATGGATCTCTGTGACTGCCTTGATGAAGATTGCCTGGGGTGCTTCTACGCGTGTCCCAATTGTGGTTCTAACAAGTGTGGAGCTGAATGCCGCTGTGACAGAAAATGGCTTTATGAGCAGATTGAAATAGAAGGAGGGGAGATTATTCATAATAAGCATGCTGGATAATTTGAAGGGGTTGAATGAGCTACTCTATATCCTTGTAGCTCTAAAATTCTACTGTGTATTCAGAATTCAAGCATGATAAACCAGTGACAAAAGTTTTGAAAAATGTTATATTACATGTGAATGTTTTGTGCTAGATGTTGTAGAATTTATTGTTTTGTGTACATTTTAGCTGAACTAAAAAAAAACAGCTTTAGTTTATTGTGGATAAATAAGCAAGCTGAGTAGTTGGGAATAGTGCTCGACTGTAGAAGGAGAACTGATCTTTGTACAACTGTTAAAACCATTCTGGTTACCAATGAGGGAATAAACGGCGGCAAAATCTTCAAAGCACGTTATCAGATTACATTCCCTTTGAGTAAAGAAACAAATAATGAAAATTCAATTTTTTAAGACTATCCTAAGCATTCTTATTCCTTTTCTACCCAGCTTTCTGTCAAATTAGAGATTCTTAATATTTTTAAATTTAAGTTGTAGCCCAATAAGTTCTAAACAAATGTAGCTCACTTAGTTTAGTACTTGGCCTGGCTTTCTAAATTGAACTAATACTCTGTTGTGATGTAGATTCAGTTCTTTACACTACCCCCTCTCCCCCCCCCCCCAAAAAAAAAAATCTTTTTCAAGTGGAAGCCGAATAAGCTTCTTCATCAAATAGAATCCAGGTTTCCTATCCTATGAAGAAATATACATAACTGACATTAAGATTGTGTTCCTGTAATCCCTTCAGTAAGTTACAGCAGTATGCTCACTAGGTGTAGACGATTACATTTTTTTTTTTTAAAGAAGAGGTATATTTCTCACAGTAGAGTACCGTATATGAAATCTCAAGTTTATAAACTGCCTTTAAAATTAGAGTTTTATTTCAAATATTATTTAAACACAAATTTTAAATGGTGGCTCAAAGTCTTGTTAACACATTTACTTGGGAAATTACCTAAAGAACACTCACTGTGCTTGGAGATTTAACTTTGAAGAGTCTGCCTTCCAAAAGGACTCTCACTTTAAAGAGTTCAGTAAGAAATGTAAATCCTGCTACTTTCTTGAATGGTAATGTGCAAGACTGTTGAAGTTTGGTACATTTCTAAACAATGAATCCACAAGTCCATTTCCTATTCCTTGTTTGAAGTGAGAGTACAATGGAAACTTCAGGTCCTTTTTATGTTGCTGTTAGACTTTTCAGGGCACCTGACTATTAATAAAGCAAATGCTAAAACTGTATAAATGCTAATTTTCATTCTGTATGGATTGTGATATAGAAGAAGTCAGTGTTAACATGCTAAAAAGTTGAATTGAAATTAGAAATGTTAAGTATCTAGATTTTGTGTTTTCAGGTATATATATTTTGATGTTGCCAGCTCAGTTGCTCTTCTGCATAATTGGTTAAGTTGAAGGGTTTTTTGTTTTTTTGTAGTTTTATTTGACTTTCTACAGATGTAGTGTCTGTTAATTAATAGCTGTGCTTCTGCAATGAATATCATACTGGTAGAATCTAGTGTTAGAGAATCTAGTTGTAATTTCCAAGTCCTTGATGAGACTTTGCATATTAGGGCCCCACAGCCCATACTAATTTTGCTCTCTTGGTGTGGGCATGTTCAGTTTTGTTGGAAAAATCCTTTTTAGCAATTGTGTTTACTTCTTTGTTATTCTACTTAGCATCGTGTTTATATAAGTAATATAGGTACTATTCGCATAGGTATTGTACCTTGTCAGAAGTATATTAAACATTAAAATATCTTAATGCTATATGCTTATATACTTCAGGAGGGAGGTGTTGAGTTCTTCCTAGTTGAAGGCTTCAGAAGACTTGTCAGTTCATTGTGGAGACAGTGATAAGAGCTATGGTAATTCACAGAGAAGGGAATTGTTTTGGAGGTTAAAGCAGTTGTCCAGGAAGATCTAATTCAAAATTGACTTACACTTTGATATCTAATTGTCTTCATTATCTCATTCCTGTGGGTAACTATTCATACCTATATAGATTCTACTCCTTCTATCTTGTGCACTCATTTTAGTCCATCTTCTACATCGTATCTAAGTTGTGTACCCTTAACACAAAAGAATAAATACCGTGATAGCAGTATTTACTTTTGGATATGTAAAACATTTTCATGTACCCAACACAGGGCCCTTGTCCCTTTGCAGCTGTTTTCCTTTACAAACAAACATTTTTGCTTTATATTAAGATAAAAGTAGCAGTGTTCCAGCTTAATTAATTTTGGCCATAGCATAAAATTCTGCCTTTGTCTAAATTTTCAAGGTTTTGAATATAAATTTACCAACTGGAAAGTCATAATACCACTATGTGAACTGTTACTTGATCCAATTCAGTTTTTCCTTTTATAGTTATTTTGCTAAAGGCATTTTGTTCTGTTATAAAGTTTGTGTATAATTTATTTGGTTTTTGCTGACAGCTACTGGAATTATAAGAAAATAAACCAAACTTCTCATCCACTACTGCTTTAGCTTGATCACTTCTAAAAAACAAACCTTTGGGTGTTTTGAATCAGTGATTACATAATGATTCAGTGTTGTACCAGAAAAGCTCTCAACTCAAATAAAATTCTTAAACTCAAGCGTAATACTCAGCGTTACTGTCTACTAGCAATTGACAAGACAGTTTTGGGGCTTCCTAAAATTTCAATTTTCTGTAGTTTTAAGTGAGGGAACGTACATAAGTGATTTTTTTTTTAAGGCAGTTGGGGTTAAGGAACTTGCTCAGGGTCACACAGCTAGTGTCAGGTGTTTGAGGCCAAATTTGAACTCAGGTCCTCCTAACTCTAGGGCGAGGACTATCCACTGCACCACTTTGCTGCCCTGCAAGGATGTGTTTCTTTAGGAAAGAGAATCAGGGAGACAAAATACAAGAAGATAAGTTATCAGCAAAACTTGTGAGCTGCTTCTATGTTACTGCAAACATTTGAAATTATTGAAAAGAATTGGTCTTGAGAACAGGCTCAAAATTTTGAGTTTAATATGGTTTTAAATGACTTTAGTTCTGAGTTATTTAATAAGATTTTTCTTAAAAGATTTAAGGTTGTAAGCTTTATATTCAAATGCAGTTTTGAAAGGGTTCATATATTTAAATTTTGACAAGGTGGTAAAACTAAAATTCAGCCCTCAAATTTCCTGTAGATTTACTCATGAGGAAGACATTTCATAACAACTCCCTCCAGTTGGAAGAACATCGTCACTCCATCTAACCTAGAATCAGATTTTATGTTTTAAAGCGATAATAGCGAACTACACAGACTATAACCTTAGAATTGTTCTTAACACTGAAATGTCAGGTAATTGTTACAAATAACCCATGGAGTGAGACCTGAGTAAATGAGGAAAGAAAAAACTATTAGGATTTGTCTCTTGGAGAAAGGTTTTTCGTGATCTGAAACCAATATTGGGTGATAAATAGAAAATCATCAAGAATCCAAACATTAGCTACTTAACCCTCAAGAAAGAAATAGTGCTAGGTGAATCAAGTAAATCAGATTTCATTCCTCTTGTTGTAGTGGTGGGTTCTCAATATCTCTGGGTACCCAAAGCAAATAAGAGGTTCCACACCCACCCTGTTTCTCCTTTCTGTTGGTGGCTTTGGCATCATGGATAGGACAATTTTTTGAGGTGAGTTAGAAAATTTGTTAGTGCTGGTTTCTGATGGTGATTGGCTACAGATAGGCAAAGTTACTTGTCCAAAGGCATCCAATAATTGGGGGGGGGGGGGAGTTGCACTTCATAAATTTTAAAGTGCTGCTGTAGTTGTGAGGTATTTTTCATTACAGTTCACATATCTTTCTGAAAGGATTGACCATTTTTACTTGGCCAGGGTTTCATTATCTTCATCGAGTTAGACTTCATGTAGAGAGACATAAGCACTTTCCTAATCCAAATGGGAATTTTAATCATTAGATCATGGGTATAGAGCTGAAAGGGACCTTTGCAATCATATCCTAAACCCTTCCTTCTATAGATGAGGAAACGGAGGTCCAGGAAAGTTGTAATTTGCCCAGTGTCACATGGCTAGTAGGTGCCTGAGGTATGATTCAAACCCAGGTCATCTTGACTCCAGGTCCCTTACACCAAGGAATGCCAATCTAATAAAACCTGAAGATAAACACTGGAGTCATCATCTCCTAAAGATTAATGTTGACTGAGGGCAAGATTAAAGATGTTGACAAGCTTCGAGAGTGATGTTTCCCACATTGTTAAATAGTTACCTTGTGTTCACGTTATGGGAATCTTGAGTTATGTGAGAATATGTTAATTCTTTGCCCTTAAAATATTAAGAACTCATGAATTAGGAGTATTAAATGAAGCAATTTTTGAAATTAAAATAAGCTTGATTTTCCCAAAGCTATATGATGAAATAGAAAGATCCCTGTACTTTAAAGTCCTTTCAGATACTTGATGTCTGTCCATTGCCCTTAATGTCTTCTCTGAGCTAACCATCCCTGTATTCAGCCAGTCCTCATGTGACATGGTTTCTAATCTCTTTACCACCCTGGGTGTCTTTCTCTGGCATAGTTTATCAAAGATGACAGCCAGAAACAAACACAGTATTCCTGGTATCTGACCAAAGGATAAATCAGGAAGACTGCGTTCTGTAGTATGCAACCCAAGAATGCATTCACATTTCTGGCTGCTGTGTTACTGTTGATCCATTGAGTCTGCCACCCACTGAAACCTCCAGATGTTTTCCAAATGAAATTGTTGTTTAACCACCATTGAACTTATTCCCTTTCCAGTATATTTTTCATAGACCAGAATGCTTTTCTGATGCATAAATCTAATCTAAATCTTGTGTCCAAAAAAAGTTCTCCAATACTTCCCTATTACTAAAGTCCATATGTTATAAGTCTCCTCCACATGTTCTGTTACTCACCCAAATAATTCTACTTCTAATTCCCAAACATGGAGTGCTTTACCACCTCCCTTGTTTTACTCATGCTCAGATCTTCTCTGCTCCTTTTCACTTGTTTCACTCCTTTAAATATCAGTGCCACTTCTTCCGTGAAGCCTCTCACACAGAGAGGTCCCCAAACAATTCGCTGTGTACATCTATGGAATCATCAGCTGATCAGTGATTTCGAAGCTGAAAGGGACCTTACGAGGCCAGCTAGTCCAATCACCATTTGAACCCAGAGTCTTGGTCTCCAAATCCAAATTCTTTATACTGTGAGATATTTGTAAATTTCAGCGTAGTGCCTACCAGGTCATAGGTACTTAACGAATACTTATTTTCTTCCCTTCTTTCTTCGTCTTATTTTCTTCAGTCCTTCCTTTCTCTAAAACGAGATAAGCTGTCCTGAAATATAGGTTGCATGTCAGTTTGTGTCCACTTAGCCTCCATCAGATTACAAAGTGGAATTCTCCCCAAGACAATTATCATTTCTACCACCAATAAACCAGCTCCTGTTGTTGGCTTATCTGACTTTTGAAGAATGAAATTATCATTGAGACAAGTCGAGAAATTGTTGGCTGCCCTACCTTGGGTAGAAGGTGTCATCAGCTGTCTGGATGACTAAAGTCTGACTCTTCTATCTTTCCCTTATGCCAAAGCTCATCCTGTATCCCAAGTTCCTACTCTATCTGTGTCACCACAGTTCTAAATGTTATAGCAGCTATCTGGGGTATCAAGCTTAGTGTCTATCTTTGAATATCTTTTTCTTCCCCGTTTTCAGTGTAAAACCCATTTGATTGGATTTCTTAAGAGTTCAGGCAAATACATTTTGATTGACCCTTTACGGGTTGCATTCCAACTCTGGCCAAGAGCTTGTCATTTCCAGATTTTTACAGAATGCCAAATCTTTTAAAACCTAGTATGTGCTTCAATAAGTAATGGGCTAGATGTGTGATATATAGAAGTATTTAAACGTACTTAGTGCCTACATGTAACAGGCAAATGTCAAAGACTACTGAGCAGCATTGTCTGGCTTAGCTCAGGTAGGTACACCAAAGAATCAGGGAAAGATACCTGAGATTAAGAATTAAGCACTCATTCCTCATTCTTATCCTCTACTTTGATGTGTGGAGATAACACCATAGTGGTTTCATGTAAGTTTGGAGTGAACTCAACTGGGATCAGAAGACACCAGGGCAAAAGTTCATGAAAAACATTCCCCATCCACCTGTAAATCCTTATGGGTCAATGGGTGGATGATGTAGTTTGGTATTGTACAGAAAAATTTAGTCTGAAAGATTAATTTGGTTGCAAACCTGGACTTAACCTGAAATTCCAAATTGATCCTGTAACTGACTATATAATGGCCATATGGATCATAACTAACCTGGGGAATAGAGGGGCAAAGGGATATGTCAGGCCTGAATCAAAATTAAATTGCCCACTGGGAGAGCCACAGGATAATGCCAGATTTGTCGGTCCATTTACAAGCTGTCTTCCCTTCTCTAAAGTGCCAGTTAGATCTCAAAGCTACTTAAGAGAGAAAGGTGGAAGGTTGTGGAGGGTAAAATAAGTGACGCTTAGTGGCTAGAGTGTGAGACTTGCTGTCAAGAAGACCTGTGTTCAAATCTTGTCCCAGATGCTTAATATCTGCGTAACCTGGCTCAAGTTAACCTCTCTGAACCTCCTTTTTCTTAACAGTAAAATGGGGATAATACTGCCTAGCTCGGAGGATAGTTGTGGGCATCAAATGAGATGTTCTATAAAGTCCTTTGTAAAACTTAAAGAATTGATAATGCTTCTAGCTCCTGGGCAAGTTACATGACCTTTCAGTGATATTGGACAAATCTTTACAACTAGCAATCATGGAAAAGGTGCTCACCTGCATTGGTAGAGGGACTTTCCTCACCCAGGAGAGCTCTTTAGCAATGAAATCACAGGTCCAATACCTATCCCTATTCAACAAATATATATTAAGAGCCTGCTGTCTTCAGGAGACTGTTTTGCATATATGGTCCCCTGGAGCCTAATATTTACTAGGGGATGTGACCGATATATTTCCCTATTCCAAAAGAAGCATATTGCAACCCATCCTCATCCAGGAAGCCTCCCTTAATTGCCCCCATTAGCACTAAACATCCCCTAGGGCCTCATACAGCACTTTTGCTGAGCCCCTCTAATGCATTTACTAGTCTGGGAGGCACCCTAGATTTTAGGAGGACATCCCAGAGGTTTTGGAGGAAGGGCAGTGTAGGAGGCCATAATGCAGTGGAAAGAGGTCTAGTTTGGAAATACAAAGACCTGAATGCAAACCCCACTTCTGATGCCTTGTGTGATGTGATATTAAGTAAGTCAGAACCTCTCCGGGCCCCAATTTCCTCCTCTTTAAAATTACGGGTTTGACCTAGATGGCTTCCAAGATCCCTGCTACCTCTCAGTTGATGATCCCATAGACTAAAATCCAATAGAGGAAATCAGTCCAAGATGGACAGGAAGCCCTAAAAATAAAATTGTGAAGATAAATAGAAATTTGATGAGGAAGAAAAAGAGGATTTGGCTG